CGGGGGCCCACAGTATCTCGGATTCAGAGGAGATACCATCTCTGAATGTGGGAGCATACCTTTCCATGAAATTATTTATTTATTTATTTATTGCTTCAACTTCTACCTCGCCGAGGCAGGCTCGGGGCAGCTTACATAAAACCAATAAAACAATACACATATCACTTTTGGCTTTTGGACGTATGGACACCCCTTTAAATATCCTTGATGGGATATGTCAGAAATAAAATCTTTATAGTTGTAAAACAAATGTTACAGATGCCAAAATGATTTTTGTTCCTTCCAGATGCAGACCGGTGTGACAAATGTCCAGATGATCAGCACCCAAACAATGACCAAAGGAAATGTGTGCTGAAGGCTATAAACTTTCTGTCCTATGAAGACTCTCTGGGGGTTATCCTAACGGCCATTCCTCTGTTCTTGTCCCTAATCACTGGTGGTGTTTTAGGACTGTTCATTAAATTCCGAGATACTCCAGTGGTCAAAGCCAACAACCGGGACCTCACCTACATTCTCCTTGTCTCTCTCCTTCTTTCCTTCCTGTCCTCCTTTCTATTTATTGGCCGGCCAAACAAGGTGACATGTCTCCTTCAACAAACCACCTTCAGCGTCATCTTCTCGGTTTCTGTCTCTTCTGTCTTGGCCAAAACCGTCACTGTGGTGGTGGCCTTCATGGCGACAAAGCCAGGGAACAGGATGAGGAAATGGGTGGGCAAGAGTTTGGCCAACTCCATCATCATCTCTTCTTCCAGCATCCAAGTTGGCCTCTGCATCATCTGGCTGGGAACCTCTCCCCCCTTCCCAGAGTCCGACATGCACTCCCAGGCTGGACAGATCACACTGCAATGCAACGAAGGGTCTGTCGCCATGTTTTATGGTGCCCTGGGCTACATGGGCTTCCTGGCTGCCATCTCTTTCACTGTGGCGTTCCTGGCCAGGAAGCTGCCTGGGGCCTTCAACGAGGCCAAGCTGATCACCTTCAGCATGCTGGTGTTCTGCAGTGTGTGGGTGTCGTTTGTGCCCACCTACCTGAGCATGAAGGGGAAATACATGGTAGCCGTGCAGGTCTTCTCCATGTTGGCCTCCAGTGCGGGGCTGCTGGGTTGCATCTTTATTCCCAAATGCTACATTATTATATTGAGGCCTGATCTCAATACCAAACAGCTTTTAATGAAAAACTGAAATGATTACATTTATTATAAATGAGTGGATGTCCATGTTATCATACTTTTGAGCACAGTGCCATTTTAGCACCGCTAATGGACATATTTTGGCATTTTCTAGGAAGGAAATTCTTCTACAGCTTCCATGAATCTGACATCTGCTTTTGATCTCATCTGAAAGGAGCATCTTTGGTAGAAAGTAGACAAATTGAGATTTGAGATTAGTATACCCGATATAACATGTCTTTACTTAAAATACCTGTTCGGCGTCATAGAAAGGAGTAAAAAGTCCAGTAGCACCCTAAAGATGAACAAAATTTTTGGCAGGGGAGGAGCTTTCATGAATCACTGCTCACATCTTCAGATACCAGTAGGAAAGGGCAAGTAGTGAGCAGCTCATCTCCTGCCAGAAATCCCCTGCTACAAATTTTGCTAGTCTTTAAGGTGCTACTGGACTCTTTTTTACTGCTACAGACAGACTAAAATGGCTCCCCATCTTGATTTATCTGTTTGGTGTCAGTTTTGCTGCTCCAATGAAGAGCACCTCACCAACTCAATCCTTACTGCTAAAGGATTATGGCAAGGTTGTGTGAACCCTCTTTTTATTTACCCTCAATTTAAACAATGTGATTTCCATTCTTCAGTTTGGTGTAGTGGTTAAGTGCGCGGACTCAATCTGGGAGAACCAGGTTTGATCCCCCACTCCTCCACTTGCACCTACTGGACACCTTCTGTCACAGCTGTCCTCTCAAGAGCAGTTCTCTCAGAGCTCTCTCAGCTCAGGGTGTCGGTTGTGGGGAGGGGAAGGGATGGGAGTTTGTAAGCCGCTCTGAGATTCCAAGTGAAGGGCTGGGGATAAATCCAATCTCTTCTTCTTCTTCTCTTCTTTATCCCCCCTCCTGCAAAGTTAGATGACACCCAAGTACTAAAGTTCTGCTATTCTTCAATAACCACAGTAAGCATAGGTTAGCTTACTCTTGTTGTGTTGTTTCTTGGATGTCTTATGGAACTATGGCCCCGGTCAGACGTGCTGGAAAACGCGGGGAAGCGCGGCTATTTGCACCATCGCATTCTGATGCGCCATTATGTGATCAGACGCAATGGCGGCTTCCCTGCAGCAAAGAGGATGACGGGGGAGGAAGCCGCGTGCCGGCGCAATCACACCGGGAGGCTTCCATAGGCGGCCCGTGGCAAAGCGTTTGCCACTACATACGGTGAGGTGGTTTTTTACTGCGTGGCTTCGGTGGCTTGCCACAGGTTCGCTACGCCTCCCAGATGTTCCCGTGTGATCGCGCCCAGATACTTTGTGGGACTCCCATGCCTTCAGTGGGGCAAATGCTCTGTGTGAACAGGACCTATATATATTTTTATTCAAGAATGAATTCGTTCTGACATAGATTGTTAGAATTCACCAACAAGCGGGGACTCTCAACAGAAAGCAAGTTCGCCCTTTATAGAAAAAATAGCAAACAAAGAGGACGGCCTCTAGCAACTTGAAGGACACTCAAAATCTTGCTCTCAGAGTTCACTCCACCACCACCCCTTGTTTACAGAACACTTTGAATTCCTGGGAAGGACAGAAAGGAATACAATCCTTCGACACTTTCTCAAAAGAGATACTAGAGTCGGCACACCATGACCATGGCTTACCCTGCCTAAAAATACCAGGTGCCATCAGGAGGTCCACCAGTGGGGCCGTGACTGTAGGACCTATTTTGATCTCTTATTTGAAGACCAGGGAAGACTCTTGAATGAGTGAACCTGTGAGATCCTACGAGAGGGGAAGGTTGCTTGTGTCACCTGTTTATAGGTACCAAGCTCATCCTTCCAAGGGAGGAGAGGTCCAGGCCTAACTGGAGGCGGGAACCTGCATCCAAGCATAAGCATTTACATGACACATTCAATGGTACACGATTTACAGGATCATGCTTATGGCAATACATACTGGTAACAGACCACAGTCCCGGTCCCTTTATCGAAACATCTCCCTGTAAATATTTCATTGCATGATTTGCAGAAAGCCAGAAGAATGGCAGCCTTCCTCACCTCCTCAGGCAGGCTATTAGCCCAGGCTTTGGGCACAACATAGAATGCACATGAACAGGCAGTTGTCGATTTTGCCCATTTGCAGGGAGGTACCTGCAGAAGCGGTCTTGGTGGAACAAAGGGAGATTGAGCCTGAGAAGCACACCAGTTCAAGGCTTCTCTGGGAAAGGTTAAGGCGCTTGGGGCTCTTTAGTTTGGAGAAACGACGGCTGAGGGGGTGACATGATCGAGCTTTACAAGATCATGCATGGGATAGAGCAGGTCGAGAAAGAAGTACTTTTCTCCCTTTCTCACAATACAAGAACTCGTGGGCACTCCATGAAATTGCTGAGCGGTCGGGTTAGAACGGATAAAAGGAAGTCCTTCTTCACCCAGGGAGTGATGAACACCTGGAATTCACTGCCACAGGAGGAGGCGGCGGCTACAAGCCTGGACGGCTTCAAGAAGAAACTGGATAAACATCTGGAGCAGAGATCCATCAGTGGCTATTAGCCACAAGGAATAGATAGGAACTCTGGGACAAGTGATGCTCTGTATTCTTGGTGCTTTGGGGGGGGGGGGCAACAGTGGGAGGGCTTCTAGTGTCCTGGCCCCACTGGTGGACCTCCTGATGGCACCTGGTATTTTTGGCTACTGTGTGACAGAGTGTTGGACTAGATGGGCCACTGGCCTGATCCAACATTGGCTTCTCGTTATGTTCTTATGTTCTTAAAAGGTAGCCCTACAGGCAAATTTTGAGACCTTGCAACCTGATACCCTCTCAGAGAGTAAGGAAAGAAAAACACTTGTTTTCAAGAGAAACAAAAGAGTTCTGTTAGATTACTGAAGCTCTTTTTGATCGGGGAAGACTGCAGTCAGATAACCTACTGCAGGCTGAACAGGAGGGGGAGAGGCGGTTCTGTAGGTATGAAAGACCCAGGCTGTGATGGGCTTTGTATCTGATGGCCAATCACTTCAATTAAGCCTGGTAAAAAACACCACTTCAAGCACAATCACGCATTAGGGTTTAACTGAGCAAACTCTCTGTGAGACTTACCTGTTCCAGTACAGTGAAATACTCGAAGTCAGATTTCAGATCCTGTGTAAGCAGAACTGTGAACTTCTTAGAGATAATGATTTTATTTAAAATAAAACATGCTCTTTGTATTAGGCAAGAATTTGGTGAACAGGTGAAGTTGACCGTACAAGTACAGAAAATTGCAGAGGGAAAAATCAGGTCTACTAATATTTCTCAAATGTCACTAAATACATAGCATTACAGTTCTCTAAAATTTAGGCAAGTCAGTTTTTAAGTTGATAGGCAGAAGGCTATGTACCATGGAAAACCTGGCACATGTAATGTGCTCACCCAATAGAAGGTCTTTTCTGATTGGAAGCCACCAGTAGAAAGCCTCATTACAGCCTTACGTGACAATTTTGATAGAGGAGACAGAGGAAGAGAAATTAGTCTTTAGAGCTTGAATATGTGATTGTCCTCCTAATTAAACTATTAGACCCTAAAGTGAATGGGCAAATAAATAACTATACTAGGTGAACTAGAATACATCCTGATAAGTGCCATTACATTCTCAAGGCAAGTTTATAAGATGCAAGACAGCAGTTTATAATTCCAGAGCAATAAATCTTTTGCTTTTCAGTTATACTAATAAATTGTCAAGGTTGAGAGGTGGTTATGAAGAGACATAATGCATAAACATTCATAAATATAATTAAAATCATGAATATGCAACATATTTCCTCTCCCCTGTGTGCGTCCTTTGGTGGGAATTAAGGTGCGCACTCCGACGGAACCTCTTTCCACACTGCAGGCATTTATATGGTTTCTCCCCTGTGTGAATTCTTTGATGGGAACTACAATTGTCACTCCGACTGAAGCTTTTCCCACACTCTAGGCATTTATATGGTTTCTCCTCTCTGTGAATTTTCTGATGGACACTAAGGTGTGAATTGAAACTGAAGCTTTTCCCACATTCTAGGCATTTATATGGTTTCTCCCCTGTGTGTATTCTTCGATGGGAAGTAAGACAGGAACTCTGATTGAAGCTTTTCCCACACTCTAGGCATTTGTATGGTTTCTCCCCTGTGTGAATTCTTTGATGCAAAGTAAGAGCATTACTGTAAACAAAGCTTTTCCCACACTCTAGGCATTTATATGGTTTCTCCCCTGTGTGAATTCTTCGATGGGAAGTAAGACGGGAACACTGACTGAAGCTTTTTCCACATTCAAGGCATTTATATGGTTTCTCCCCTGTGTGAATTCTTTGATGCAAAGTAAGATGGGAACACTGATTGAAGCTTTTTCCGCACTCCAGACATTCATATGGTTTCTCCCCTGTGTGAATTCTTTGATGCAAAGTAAGAATGTAACTCTGTCTGAAGCTCTTCCCACACTCCAGGCATTTATATGGTTTCTCCCCTGTGTGAATTCTTTGATGCAAAGTAAGAATGTAACTCTGTCTGAAGCTCTTCCCACACTCCAGGCATTTATATGGCTTCTCCCCTGTGTGAATTTTTTGATGGACAGTAAGGTGTCCACTCTTCCTAAAGTCTTTTCCACATGCTAGGCATTTATATGGTTTCTCCCCTGTGTGAATTCTTTGATGGGAAGTAAGACTGGAACTCTGACTGAAGTTTTTTCCACACTCCAGGCATTTATATGGTTTCTCCCCTATGTGAATTCTTTGATGGGAAGTAAGATGTGTACTACTCTTGAAGCTTTTACCACACTCCAGGCATTTATATGGTTTCTCCCCTACATGAGTTCTTTGATGGGAAGTAAGATTGGAACTCTGACTGAAGCTTTTCCCACACTCCAAGCATTTGTATGGTTTCTCCCCTGTGTGAATTTTCTGATGGACACTAAGGTGTGAACTGTGATTGAAGCTTTTTCCACACTCCATGCATTTGTATGGTTTCTCCCCTGTGTGAATTCTTTGATGGCCATTAAGGTGTGAACTCTGAACGAAGCTTTTTCCACATTCCAAGCATTTATATAGTTTCTCCTCTGTGTGAATTTTCTGATGGACACTAAGGTGTGGACTGCAACTGAAGCCTTTTCCACACTCCAGGCATTTATATGGTTTCTCCCCTGTGTGAGTTGTTTGATGGGAAGTCAGGTGTGCACTCTGACTGAAGCTTTTCCCACACTCCAGGCATTTGTATGGTTTCTCCCCTGTGTGAATTCTTTCATGGCAAATGAGGCTACCTTTTCTTCCAAAACTTTTTCCACACTCCAGGCACTCATATATTTTATTTCTGTTAAACATCCTTTGTTGAATATTAATAACTGATATTTCAGTGAAACTTTTCCTGCTTGCAGTGCAGTCGTTCCTGTTGTCTCCTTGACATTCTTTTTGCTGTAAAGAGTCATCCCTCTGTAAAAGACCGGAATTATTTCTCACTTTAGGTGGGTGTTTTCCCTCCTCTTTTCTTGGTGCATCCAAATATTCAAACTCCTCTTTCACATCTGAATATGTATCCTCATTCTCCATGAGTATGTTCTTCGGCTTCATTTGCTGACTACCACACGTCTCCTGCTGGGAAAAAAGGGATAACTGGTGTGATGATATGACACTTTCCAGAAATACCTAATTTTGAGTCCAGTAGCACCTAAAGACTAACAAGGTTTTCTGGGTACAGACCTTTGGCGTCGAGGTTCCCTTTGTCATATTTGATAAAGAATGGAGATCTCTCAGTCTTTATTCCAGTCAGAGGGTCGGAGGAGTGTTACAAAAAAGGAACTCAGGATGCAGAGGTACCCATGCACATTGTAATTAGCAAGAGTAGAAGAAAGGAGAAATGAGAAGAATAAGAAGAGATTGGATTTATATCCCGCCCTTCACTCAGAGTCCCAGAGTGGCTTACGAACTCCTTTCCCTTCCCCTCCCCACAACAGACACCCTGTGAGGTCGGTGGGGCTGAGAGAGCTCTTTCAAGAACTGCCCTTTCAAGGACAGCTCTTGTCAGAACGATGGTTTGCCCAAGGTCATCCAGCAGCTGCAAGCGGAGGCGTGGGGAATCAAACCCGGTTCTCCCAGATTAGAATCCGCACACTTAACCACTACACCAAACTGGCTCACTTAACCACCACACCAAACTGGAAGAACAGAAATGCTTAGGGGAAGAAAATTAGCACCTGTGAGAAGCTAATTTTAAGATAAGATAGGGGGCCCATTGTTCTGAATTTGTGAATGAACTTAAGCTCAGCAATCACGCATTTTCTCTTTGAAGCTTCTCTGTTTAAGGACTGCCACTCTTAGGCCCACTTATTCTTTTGGGCAGGATTGACCTGTTTGTCGGACAAAAAGAGTGGAAGGGCACTGCTGCCATTTGGTGGCATACACAACCTTGGAAGATAACAAGTGAATGAGCCTGAGATGGTGTGGCTCGTGTTGCCTAGGTCTTGTGATTGTATTGTCTGGAGTGAACATGGGGACAGAGTTTGTTGCAGGCCCTGGTTCAAGATGCTTTACCCTCCATCTGTGGAAATAAGTATCTGCACATAGGGGGTGCAGTTGGGAATTAGATATATAGATTACAGGTTTGCCTCCCAAAGCCTATGAGAGAGGTGTATCATCATCCAGAATAGGTTGTTAATGATGCACTGCACTGGTTTTAGCTGAGAGCTGTATGTGACCACCAGTAGTGAACATAAGAACATAGAAAGAGCCCTGCTGGATCAGACCAGTGGTCCACCTAGTCCATCATGCTGTTTGGTGTAGTGGTTAAGTGTGTGGACTCTAATCTGGGAGAACCGGGTTTGATTCCCCACTCCTCCACTTGCACCTGCTGGATGACCTTGGGCAAGCCATAGTTCTGATAAGAGCTGTACTTGAAGAAGAGCAGTTTCTGTCAGAGCTCTCTCGGTCCCACCTACCTCACAGGGTGTTTGTTGTGGGGAGGGGAGGGGAAAGGAGTTTGTAAGCCGCTCTGAGACTCCCTTGGGTCGTGAAGGGTGGGGTATAAATCCAATCGTCTCCTCCTCCTCCATCCTGTCTCACACAATGGCCAGCCAGTTCCTCTGGAGGGCCAACAACAGGGCAGAGAGGCTAAGGCCTTCATAAGAACACAAGAAGAGCCCTGCTGGATCAGAACAGTGGTCCATCTAGCCCAGCATCATTTCTCACAAAGTGGCCAATCAGTTCCTCTGGAGGGCCAACAACAGGGCAGTGGGTACAAGGGCTTTACGGGGGAGAAAGATGAAGGGCGTTTGTTAAGACAAGGGACAGCCATTATTCTCAATAAAGCTGTTGAAAATTTTAAAAAAATGCTTGAACACATGGCAGAGGGTCTGAAGAAAGGTCCAGATGGAGGAGGTAGTCTAATGAGAACAATAAAACTGAAACTATGAAGTTCTTTCTCTTTAACATCACAGAGGTAAGTTTTA